ATGAACCTTGTGTCCAGTTCATGTTGTGAGTGTAGAGCCAACAGATTAGAAGATAATGAGTTCATATTTGTATGAACCTTGAGTCAACAGATTAAAAGATAATATGAGTTTCACCCATGTTCAGGGCAGTCCCAGCCTGAGAAGATATAGGTGAATTACTTCCTATTATCAGAGCTCTTGGAGACTTGTCATCTCGTAGAGCCCAGCACTGTAATAACTCTGCATTTAACCAGAAGAAAATAAATCTACGTAAAGCTGATTGTTACTTCTTGGGGCCTTCAGATAAAAGAACTGGTTGTATCTAAAAATGATTTAGGGAAGCAGTTGGAGCACAACCTTGCAGCTCTTTTTTAAAAATGCAAACTGTGCTTCACATTCCAGAAAGTTCCATACAACAGCTTGTACAGATTTGTGAGTTGTCCCAGCCAGAAGCCAGAAGAACAGCTTAAAATATAAAATGGCTAATTACAGGTCAAAACGCCAACAATCAGGATGTCGTGATGTTGCTATAAACGCTGGTAAGTGTGGAGGGCTTTCAAGCCCAGGAGGGCCATCTCACAAACACATGAAAAAGGCAAAAAAAAGGTGAACCCAACTACCTTCCCAACTTTCCTGATGGATGTGATCAGACCGGTCTTGAGGATGCACGCAAGGTCTTGGTTGATGAAATGCGAAAAAGAACACCAAATGGACAAGTTGTGAAAGAGAAGATGGACCTTACGTTTGCACTAAGAAGAAAAGAGATGGTGGAGACTGAGCCTGCCATAAGCCAGATGTTGGAACGCTGGCCTGCTCTTTTTACAGAGGATCAGGTATGTTCAAAAGTGTTAAAACTTTCTATTACTTGATGTTGTTGTTCAGTGTCACGTATACAGTCTTATGCTCTCCCTGATGATGTTCTTCAGATGAAAACCAATATAACAAATACACTATTTTAGAAAAATAGTTAATCTCCAAAGTCCATATAATGCATACATGACCCCCAAAACCATCATGTTCACTTTTATTATTTCATCTGGGGCAGTATGTAAAAGGTTATTTTTATCTTATTTTACAGGTGTTCATGGAATTCAACAGGATTGTGGTAAAGAACCTCAAGCAGGAATTCTATGACAGCATTGATCAACACAGTCTTCGTCTGATTGAGATCTTTCAATCTAGGAGAGGGAATGTCGGACAGCTGTTGACACCGCTTTTACAACAAACCAGGGTTGGTCCATATCCATTGTACACTTGTGTTGTTGCATTTTTTTTTTTTTTACAGTATAAGTAATAAAAGTCACACCAAGTAATACTGTAATGGTTGTCCAGTGCAATCAAAATTGTACTTTATTTGTCCTGCTTTCTTGTAGATCATTTCTTGTTATTCAAGCTATGCAGCAACTTCATATGTTTTACTGTCCAACAGACTCAAGAGCCAACTGATATTAGGTCACTGGTGCTCAGAGGGCTCCCGATTGTCCTTGGTGACAGCCCCACAGACTTCTTCATCGCATGCTTTGTAAGTACTAATTTCTCAAATTGTATCTTAAATGGATTTATGCTGTCATGGTATTTTGTTAATTCATAGACTTTGTGATTAATAAAATAGGTACACAGAGCTTAAACCATTAAAACTTAAGATCTTTCCAACCTTTTTCTAACAATTGCATGTCTGTTGAAACCCATAAGACATTTATCTTCAGAACAAAATTTGTTTTCTTTTTAATAAAACCTGATACTTTTCTGTCTCTATATTCAAGTCCAGGTAACCTCAACCTAAAGATTTAAAAAGGTCATAAAGGCAACATAAAATAAATTCATATAAATCAAGTCTTTTGAAAATATATGATGGCTTTTGTGACTTTGGATGCAGGGACACAAACCTTAGAGTTTTTAATATTGTTATTTCTAATATCTTGATAGTTATTAAATATGTCAAATGTGCTCTGTTGTTAGGACTCTGATGATAACTCATTCCGCCACCTTGACTTCAGAATCATCCTTGTTGAGCATGAAGGCACTGTGTCCCCATCTTCTCTTCATCTCAGTCCAGCCTCGGTTAAAATCATCATTGAGGGAGAAGTTGTGATGGAAGGCATTAAAGACTTGCCAAAAGCTGTCTGTTTTCTCTTTGGACTTGCATATGCACTGCATCTCAATTACCCCAAACTAATGAGGAACACACATTCCAATTCATCCAACAGGTACTTCTCATGTTGGGCCACAGTGACTTGAAGCCCAAGTTACAAACATTGAAAAATCTACTTGCTGTTTGAGAAATTAATTGAGCCATGGTTGTGATTTTTACACAAGTTGCATAATAAATCTTTGAAAAGATTGTCTTGCTCAGAATGTCCTATAACTGTAGTAAGTGATGTAAGGTTTACCAGTGTTCTATGGTGTTTGCACATTGTTGCTCTGTTATGAGTTGTCATCATGTTTAAAGTTTTAGAGACTTGAATCGCTTTAATTATCCAATTTTAATGGATTAGTTTTATTCAATTTTATAGAAAAAATTTGAATACTGTTTTCATGTTTCTGTGAAAAATTTGCACAATTAAGCAAAAAGAGTAGTATGTATTTTGTGCTACCATTGTGTTGATGACCTGTTTTCTCAATAAAAACATTGAAATGCTGTTGTTTGTTATATTTAAAGTAATTATAAGGCATTAATTAAATAACATTTATCACTACTTAAAATCAATATAGTGAATATTTTTGGGAAAGTTTGGTACTTTCCAGCTTTATGTAAAGGAATGTATTAATACAGCTTAACCATGTTTCACCAGTGCAACGGGTTTCCTTATAATTTCTAGTAAGCTCAACTAATCCGGGTTAAGAGTGTATTCTGTCTTACCATGACTGACTTTCATTCCTCTTCTTTCCAGCAGACTGCCACCTTTCCAGGTGTTCCTCCACCTGCTCTCTGCTCTCACTACAGATCACAATGTCATCCACAAACATTATTGTCGATGACGATTCCTGTCTGACCTCATCTGTCAACCTGTCCATCACTATAGCAAACAAGAAGGGACTCAAAGCCGATCCTTGATGTAGCCCCACCTCCACCTTGAACTCCTCTGTCTGACCTACAGCACATCTCACTACTGTTGTACTCCTCTCATACATATCCTGAACTACTCTGATGTACTTCTCTGCCACTCCTGACATCCTCATACAGTACCATAGCTCCTCTCACGGCACTTTGTAATACGCTTTCTCTAAATCCACAAAGACACAATGCATCTCCTTCCTACCATCTCTATACTTCTCCATTAATATTCTCTGAGCAAAAATTGCATCAGTAGTGCTCTTTTTGGGCATGAAGCCATACTGCTGCTCACAGACAGGTAAACCCCCACTAGAGTGTTGAGAGCCTGTGGGGATCAACTAGCTAGTGTTTATACAGACATCCTCAACCTGTCCTTAACCCAAGCAGTAGTTCCTCACATTTTCAAACAATCCATTATCATACCAGTCCCTAAGACAGGGGTGTCCAAACTTTTTGCAAAGAGGGCCAGATTTGGTAAGGTGAAAATGTGTCCTTCATGACAAACTAGATAGAAACTCCACTGCTGTCTCTCCTAGACACTTCCCAGGTGACACACACAGGTCCTGAAGGCCCTGAAACAGGTAAATCCCCAGAAGGCTGCAGAAGCAGATGGTGTGTCCCCTAGAGTGTTGAAAGCCTGTGGGGATCAACTAGCTAGTGTGTATACAGACATCTTCAACCTGTCTTTAATTCAATCAGTAGTTCTTCGCATTTTCAGGCCGGACTTTGGACATGCCTGCCCTAAGACATCAGACACATCCACTCTGAATGACTAAAGGCCAGTGGCGCTCACATCAGTTGCCATGAAGTGCTTAGAGAAACTGGTCCTCACACACATCAACCACATGGTCCTGGACACTGTAGACCCTCTGCAGTTTGCCTACCGCCCCAACAGATCAGTGGATGATGGTTTTATTCCATACCTTGAAACACCTGGACAACAGCAGTACGGATGCTAGGATGCTCTTCCTGGATTACAGTTCTGCATGCAACACCATTTGCCCCGGTAGGCTGATTGGAAAGATGACAGACCTCGGTGTCCCAACTCCCACCTGTAACTGGATTCTGGACTTCCTGACTGAAAGACCACAGATAGTTAGAATGGGAGGGCGGGTGTCTGCTGAGCTCACAATCATCACTACTGGCATCACACTCTGGTATGGTAACACCACATAGGCAGAGAGAAAGGCTCTTCAAAGGGTCATAAAGACTGCAGAGAGGATAACTGGGACTAAAATGCCTGCTATGGACACACTGTACACACAGCGCTGTCATAAAAGGGTAGAGAACATACTCAGGGATCCATGCCACCCAGCTCACTCCCTGCTCGGACACAAAAACTGCACCTACAGCCTAAGGCACAGCAGGGCAGACAGTATCATCACACACAGAACAAGACTTTACAACAGCTTTTTCCCTGCCACAGTAAGACTGATGGCAAATACAAAAATGTGAGAATATATGTGCAATAACCCCTTACTAGACATGCGCAATAATAATACAGAAATGTTCCATCCACCACCATCTGTCCTTCTAGGTTCCTTTCCTTAACACCAAACCTGCCCATCACCTCCTAGTTTCTATCTATCTCCTCACCAACGTGCCCGTTGAAGTCTGCCCCAATCACCACTCTCTCCCCTCATCTAACTCACTCCAGAATCTCTCCTTCTCTTCTAACTCACACCCTACTTGTGGAGCATAACCACTGACTACATTCAACATTACCCCTTCAATTTCCAACTTCAAACTGATCACCCTGTCTGACACTCTTTTCACCTCTAAAACATTCCTCACAAGCTCCTCCTTCAGGATCACTCCTACCCCATTTTCTAAAACAATTCGTATCCCCCTCCAATTCTACGTGCTTTGCTACCCTTCCACCTGGTCTCCTGTACACACAGTATATCTACCTTCCTTCTCTCCATCATGTCCACCAGCTCTCTACCTTTCCCTGTCATTGTGCCAACATTGAGTCCCTATTCTCAGACCTATACTTCTGCCTTTCCTCTTCTCTCTCTGTCTAC